CTGTCTGTCTCTCAGCTCTGTTTTCTACATGTCCCTGCTGTCTGTCTCTCAGCTCTGTGCTAACCATGTAGCAGCACAATGAGCACTGCGGGCAGCGGCTGCTCGAATTACACCGCTAATCCCACGTTAAACTCGGGCTCTCAGTGAGACGCCGCCCCGACACTGTGTCCACACACATGTCTCGGAGGCATCCTGCAGAGAGAGACAGTGCATGAGACTAACTGTGGCTTTGTTCTCCTTCCAGCTGGCTTGTTTTTGTTCTGCTTACCGAGCGGAGCAGGCTGATTTCATCGTAGGACAAGAAATTGAGGATAGTCTCAATGGCCACGATGGGCAGTCCTAACAGCGGGTTGTTCTGGTGCGGCTGGTCCGGTGGAGGAGTGGATTGTCTCGGTGACACCGCGTCTGAGTCCAAGGACCCAACACATCCGTCGACCCTCTCAACGACGGCCGCCATCTTGCTTTGCCAATGAGGAGGCGGAAGTGACGTATAGAAAGGAAGCTAGGGTGCCATTTTCCCCAAGTGATATAAAAAACGTTCCCATTAAAAAGAAAATCATGTTTACTGGGTTGCTCCTTATGGAGGAAACATGTCAATGTTTTCCTGATCTTTTTAATAACTGTCTATGGTGCAGAGGGAAGTTAGAAAACTTTGTGTTTATCCTGCCTGGTTTATCTGTAATGAAGATTTTATAGGGAACGTTATTCATAAAATGATATATGTATACATTGCATGTCAGCAACAAAGCGAGCGTGCTTCTACTTTCAGATAAAGAACTAATAGACATCAATTTGTTTAGCAAGTTTTGAAATCCTGTTCATATTTTAAAATTACCATTAGATGAGTTTGATGTCTCTATCTGGCCAAGTACCAAGGTTATCAAATAAATGTGGTCAAAACATGTGTGCAATAGAATTCTACAAATGGTTTAAATCCAGAGTGGGTCTTAATTGGAATACAGATGGCCTTAGATAGGATGTTAGAATCCCCACATTGGTAAAACAAGGCAGGTTAGATGTTGCAAATTCCAAAAGTACAATCCAACATATTTGTAAAGATATAGACTGATCAGTGCAACCCCTTCTCTCCATTAGGTTGTATCAATAGCATTCATGTCAATTGTAAGCCTCTTTGGTATTGTACATACACATATGGCAAAGAAAGGAACTAAGACTTTGACTAATTACAGCCATTTTAAGAGTAGCGCTCAAAATGCCAAATCTGAGATATTATGTTCACACAGTTATAAATCTTACAAGTACCATTCAGATTGGCAAATGTAATCTGGATTTATCTTTACATACTCAATAAGGATCACAGCGTTAAATATTTTATGTCAATACTTACTGATTTGTTCAGACAAACTTCAAGCTTTCTAACAAAACATTAAGAATAGAATGGTGTGTTATATATATCACTCCAGTTGATGAGTTCTTTATAAAAACTACAGCTCTGTAATGGATTACAGGCCATTTGTTTACTAAATATTAGAAAACTAAAATCAATACAAACATACCACATGTCATGGTGGAAGAAATATGCACTGAAGCAGATCTATTAACAAACACCTGAAGGGAATTCAAATGGAAGGTATTAAAAGATTTTCAGACACCAGAAATAGGGACTAAAATCGACCAAATACATGTTGAAATTTGGATAGAAAATTAGTTATCATACACATTTACTATGGTGCAAATTGAGGAGATTTTGGAAGGACATTTCACTGAAATTTCACAAAGGAGCCAAGGTGGCGCTACTGGACTGCTACTGGACCACTACTGGAGGCACGAGAGAGATATTTAACAGAAGGTGGAACTCTGCCATAGATATACTGATACAATAAAGTAATCCAAAGCCACATTCTGAATCATACATGAATCGATGTCTACCCATTCCACTACCAGCTCTTGTTTAGGATTGTAACAAATTCATAAACAAATACTCTTAAGTCCCATAAGTTGTTCATTCAAGTATTAAATCATTTATGTGCAGTGTTTCTCATTGTGATGTGCTGTTGAAATGAAGATGTGATATAACAGGGAAACATATCTATGGGTTATTAGGATACGTGACAGTAATCGACATTATTAGTATGCGCTTTAATGAACACCTGACAGGATGCTGTTAGATTACAAACTTACTGGAGAAATACATCAAGTATATAGACTCTGCTCATCCTGTAATAACTGCTTTCCTTTCTGTTTTACTACATATTTTACTTTTCTTTTAGCAGGTTATGCACACATCCATACAGAAAATTGGTCAGTGTGTCTGGGCATTTAGATATATCAGCATGTTTATATAATGTCAACTGACTTCATCAATAAATCAAAACTGGTAGCAAAACTATACACAGTAGTATATACATATTTAATAGCAAGTCTATCAACCATGAAAACAAAGTTTATTGCCAATCCACTGAAAGCGGCGCATCAAAGTCCAAGCCTTGGTCGACTGTGGTGTATTTCAACAAAAGGTCTCAGCACACAAAGTCATCATTTTACTCCATGTCAGTAGAGTCCAGTTCACTGAGAAACCTCTGACACTTGGTCATGAGGACTTTGACAGCCTCCGTGACCAGGACGTCTGGAGCCAATATGCCTGTCGACTCCACAGTAACTGTGAGAAAACAAGACAAACCGTGTAAATAAAGTTATACAACCTGATGGCTTGACATGCTGCATGCAGGACAGGAGCAGTCTTAAGAGTCTCATGAAAACAGCAATATTGATTTCTTCTTCCTCTTTCTAAAAGGTTTTGTTTCCTTCAAACAGAACCAGAAAAATGGTTCCCCTCACCTTCTTTATGCTAAGCTTCAAATCATTGTACAGCCATGACAGAGGCCTGATATCCTCATTTTACACATTACACTCTTGAAAATAAGAAAATTTGTTGTTAAAAATATCCAACCGTTTCTTAATGAGCCCCCAAGTTTAGTTATTTTCTTTTACTGGGACTGCTGCACAGTCTGAACAGCCTCTTTAAAATGCACATGAACTGTATTGAACGTACAGATGAAATGGTCTCGCACTCTTCCGAGTTTCACCAGATTCTTCAGGTCATCATGTCGGAGGACTTCCCTGCTGCACGTATCCAGGCGACTGTTCACTACTTTGGCAACCTTTCTCCCTGAGGTGGACAACACAGGGAGACAGATTAATACATTTAAGCTGCTTTCATACACTGGACTCCTGAGAACCTCCAGACTTTCTCCAACTGTATGCAGAACGCAAATGTCCAAGTGATCCATGGGCCACACTGGCTGCGTGTGCAACACTTGACAATGTGGATTTGCTGAGTCTCACAGGCATTTGTTGTTCACACAGGCACAATGTCTGCAGTGTGTCTGCAGTGGAGGAGCTGCTGTGTGAGTTTCTGGTATGACCACTCGATTTCCTAGAATCAAAGTAGCCTGTGTGCTCAAGTAAATGCCGGGACAGTACACTATGAAGCTGTGCATCTTCCGGTCCTACAATAATAAAAACGAAACGATGGACTCTGTCAACAGATATGTTAAAGTTCTTTTACTTTGAATTAACAGGTACAGGAAGTGTTGCAAATATTTATGTTTGTGATATATTCAACAGATATTTGAAATAAATACTTACATTGAAAAATATTGTTTTCACTGTATATTTTGCTGTAAATCATGCACAAAGAAAATAGGTAGGAACCCCACTCTTTAGAAGAACAGTGCAGCTCACATGCCTGAGACTTGTGTCTAACGCAGGCAGTGTGGCCGCTGTAACCTGATATCATGGGCACCTAAATGAAAGCCCCTGCGTGCTGTGCCACCCCTCACCTGGACTCTGGACCATATTGTGCAGACATTCTTCAGTGTGTCTGATATGTCTGAAAATGCCTTTAGAAATATTCTTCTTTTACTCCTATGCCATCCTAAAATATTCCCATCCTTGCTTTAGCACAGCTAGTGCCTATAAAACAACAGAAATCCTCATTACATAAAAGATGAAATGGTGGGAAGCTTGTATGATGTACCATTCCTTGATGTACTATGTTTCAAGCAGTCGTTATATTAAAAAGGTGGAGTTATATTCACCTCATCTTTATTCACCACAATGCATTGTGTGTATCCACAAACATGTGTGAGAAACAAAGAAAAACAGAGATCTACTTGTTGACAAACAGCTCTACAGTGCTACTGAACTACAGATCAGGCAGGTCAGCTCTTTCTTACCATGAATTTCCTCCAGGTCAATTACTCCTCGAGAGAAGCAGCGCTTTAAACGCTCGGCCATCTCTCCCTCCACCAGCTCCAGGAGAGTGATCTCTGGCAGAAGGCGGTAACTGGCGGTGGCCACCGGAGAAAACTTTGCATGGTCCTTACCTGAGCACAGAACAGACAGCATAGTTCAGAATCAGGCAGCAGAAAATGCAAGACAAGTAAATACGACAGTGTCTGGACTGAAAAAGGTGATAAAGTAACGAAGCTGTGTGGAAGCATGCAGCCTATAAAAAGTTTGCCACTATTTTTACTGATGATTTAACTAAAGAAAAATGAATAACCCCATCTGTTTGCTGAAAGCTATGGAAGATGCCGTGAGTCCCCCACACAGATCTCAGGGCAATGCACTTCCATGCTTAAGGTTTTAAATACATATATACCATAATTAAATAGTATAATTATTTCTATATCTTCTCTAAGGAGTTGCATTTGATCTAGACACTTAACAGCTCTTACCAATTCCTTTGACGCAGTGCATAACAATGTCCAGCTCCTGTCCTGGTCGTAGCTGAGCAATCAGGATGTCTTCATGTACAGGTCCAATGCTGGAGTCTGCAAAGACGTCTGCTTGGTTTCCAATAGGAGCCCACTTTATGTCCCTGGAATAAACTGAAACAAGTCCGCATGTGACAGAGGAGAGAAAAAAATCATATTAATTAATAAGACAAAAAAAGTTGTCTGGTCACAGGTGCTGCTGGGTGTCTGTATCTAAAACAATATGATTCTTGTGGTGTCATCTGAAACCTACCCATGTGATTCAGATACAGCTCTCGTGGATCAGAGGAGTCTTTGCTGGCTCTGGGGTTTCTGCTGCATTTAATCTTAAGCTGCAGTTGAATTGTGTCTATTTCTGATCCTTCTTCCTCTGCTGTCTCCTCACCTGGAATTTACAACATTTTAAAACATCGTGTTCACCAGTGACTCTATCTTACAAACTCATGTTAAACCACAGTTCAAGGACAGGTTTGAGAATAAGTATAAAATTAGTTGATGGAAACATGATATCTGTGGATTTGGAGCTTTCATTGTAAGCACTGAAAGAGCATGCATGCACTATTAAGTATACTGTACTGTTCTACAGAGAAGGGTTCGAATTTCTAAACTGATATCTGTGAAAATTACTCAGCAGATGTTGGTCCATCGTGCACGCACACAAGCTCTCCTGACATATTTTTCTGTGTCATCTGCATTGGCACTGCTTTTTCATCCTAAAGTATTTGTATTCTTTTTGATTTTGTCTTTTGAGTCTGTCGCATGTTA